AAGCCTATGAATTATTGGATCATATGGATGAGATCCAATAAGATCTCATGAGAGATTATTGGATAGAGATCCACTAATTTAATAGGCTTGGGTAGTTGGATGGAGATCCAATACCTAATAGGGCAAGATCCATTAGGGCTAAGTTGATAGGGGACCTCTATAAATAGGAGGGAATCAGTGGTTCATATGCTTGAGTCTTTTTGGTTTGTCTCTCCTATTCTCCTCTCCTTCTCCTCCTCAAAGCAGATATGGAGTTTTGAGGAGCATCGTCACAACTCTGCTGTGTGGATCACCGCTAGAGAGGAGGGCACTTGACCTCCTTCACCCTCTCCTAGAGATCTGTAGGGATTCAAGGATATACGATCTCCCTAGGTAATATAATCTATTTTATACGTAGTTTTAAGTTTTGTGAATTTTTGCGCACCAATCTTCGCACGATGACGAACATATATTTGGAAATTTGAAGATTTTATTTTTCTATTCTTCCGCTGCGCATGTGATGTCACCCTTAAGATTTCCCAACACGATCACTTGACACCGAGGTATTAGTTGCTTGACACATACGTGTTGATCATATAATATTGAGATGTTGACCGTATCATTATTTTCCTATCAAGACTAATATTTTAGATAATAAAATATTAATGTGTGAGGGATGATATCGTATTAGTCATACACTACACTACGAAGATCTTAGGGATATAACACTGAGGTGTCATCCCTATGGTATCGAGGTGTCGATCACCTAACACCGAGGTATTGATTGCCAAGCACTTACGTGTCGATCATATGATATTGAGATATTGAGATATTGATCACATCATTATTTTCCTCTCAAAACTAATATTTTAGATAATAAAAAATTTAATCGATGAGATCTTGAATCTTAACATTTAGAAAAAGATTCTAGATAAAAATTCTAAAAAATATCATTTTTCACCATTTATTCTCTGTAAAATAATTCAACAATTACTTTGATTCTGCCGGTAGAGTGACATGACAATCGTTATCCGTTGGCTATTTGCAATGTCATGCCACATGCAGGTGTCGGATAACTCTATTAGGTTATCAGATCATGAGAATACAATTGGGAATGACAAGCATTGATTTGATCTTGTCTTCTCCTCCTAAATACCAAGGATTGAAATGCTGGTCCATCCGACATCTTCCATGGTCGAGCTTGCACCATTATTACTCAATTTGTAGTAGAAAGAAGATTGAGACTTTAGAAGCTGAATACCTTAACCCTTTGGCACCCATGCATGAGAGAAAGTTGGATAATTATATTTGAATTGGATGCTTCAAATTGAAAATTGTGTATCCAAATCATGTTCATAATTGCTTTGTCCAATAACAACGAGTTAATTTTTAGGTATTACAACGAGTTCTTTTCTCACATAATAGTGTAAAATATTATTAATATAAGATCTAAAACCCATAAAAAAAAAACCGAGATGGAAAATAAAAAACTTTACGCAACTTATGAAAATACCTATAAGAACATAAACTTTTATTTCTTGATATGTAAAACAAATATAGCATAGTTGGGAAGAAATTGAAAACCTTGATTTGTTCTCCTACCCAATTTGTTGTGCACTCACTTGGCATCTTGGCATCTTAAAAGAAGAAAAATACTTTGGAAGGGAAGATAAATAAATAAATAAAAGTATCATGGGAAAGAAAGATTAAAAAAAAAAGAGCGAGCGATTTCTATGAAAACCCTCTCTTTTTAGTTTTTTTTTTTTGGAAGGTGTATGCAATTCTTAGTTTTTTTATTTAGTAGTGTTTTTTTCTAATACCTTAAATATTTGTATCACCTTTATGTGACTCTCACTATCTTACCATTGCCCGATGATAATGAGGTGAGAGATGAGGAAGGAGGCATAGAGATCAAAAAAATATCGGAAGAATAATGACATGAGAGCCTCAAAAAAAAAAAAAAGACGAAAGTAACAAAAAATAAAATATGAGATTATGAGTATTAAAGACGATGGTCAAACAATGATAGAAGGAGATGTGGATATAATATGTATTGAGACAAAAACTTCATAATAAGACTAAGACCTTACGATGGAACAAAAGCGACGAGACAAAGGAGATCATACAGAAGCCACAGACGACGAGCAATAATGAGATATATTTAGGATATTAGAGAGAAAAAAAATCAAATAAAAAAAACTACAATACGTTCGGAAAAAAAAAATAACAAAGAGTTTTCAGGAAAATCACCCAAAAAAAAAAATCTTACAACACCTCTCTTATTTATTTAGTGCATAACAAGACAATAAATGATACAAGATGTAACGTCAGATTTCTTTTCTTCCTATCAGCATCATCGACTTTCTTTTCTTCTTATCTTATCTTGTGGTGATTGGAGGCACAACACGGGGACCACACAAGTAACATCTCCGTGGTCCTTACTCCCTTTCGTTGTAAACGAGTGGGTAAGACAACGAGTAGATCGAAAATAAAAAAAGTATATATATATATATATATATATATATATATATATATATATATA